TGACTTGGGTGAGAGCAGAAAAAATGTGAAACCTTCACTGCTAACTGACAGTGGGAGAGCCCCACCAGAATGCTGTTCCCACATCACACACCACAGATTCCAGACAAACCAGTCTGCAGCCTGGAGCTGAATTCCTGTCATTGCTTCCATCCTTCCCTAAAAATAGATGTTCATTAAAAACCAAAATGCCTGAGTCTTTTTCTGACTTAAAGCTTCTTACAACCATCAACACATGGGAAGGCAGAGAAAAATTCTATGTCTGATTTTAATAAAATATACTTTTTTTTCATCAAAATATTGTGATAGCATGGAAAAAGAGATGCGTGCTCATTAAAGTTTAATGAATGTCTCTCCCTGCCATTTTCCATATGCGGATCATACACTATGACTCATGCATGATGATTGGCGGGAAGAATGTAATCCAAGACTGGGTCCATAAGGATGTGAGTACATGTCCACTGGCCAGCTCCTTTGCTAGGGCTCAATATTGTTCCAGGTTGGCCTCTATTTGCTCTAAAAACGGGGCTCATTAAGGTCAGCTGCAAAGTTGCTGCCAGGAAACTACAGTCCCCAGGCTGAGCTGGGGATTCCCAGAATAAGATGATGACTTGGGCAAAGGCTTTGAGGAAGAGAAAGAAAAGAGGTTCCAACTCTTGGGAGGGGGACAATCCTATATAATAAAAACCTAATATGCAAATTGACCTAACAGCAGAACGACCAGTCACTATTATGCACACTGACCACCAGGGGGCAGACGCTCAACGCAGGAGCTGCCCCCAGCCCACAGGCCCCAGGCTGACCAAGGCGGGTGCCAGCAGGGGGCCCCTGATCACCCCACCAGTCGCCCCACAGATCAGCCCTGATTGCCAGCCAGGCCTAGGGACCCTACAGGTGCATGAATTTTGTGTACTGGGCCTCTAGTAATGTTATATTTATGCTCCAGAGTCTTCACTGAAGTCTTTGTTCATGGACTCAAATATAAAACTCTCATCCAAAAATTTTAGACTCATCTTAAAATGGCCCCAAGCTGCTCTTCTAGGTTTATAACCACTAGTCCTCTGCTTCCAGCCTCAACTCTAGCCACAGCAGGCTTCTAGTTGCTCCCCATACCTGCCATCAACCTCTCTCCATGTCCTTGATTAGGTTTTTTCCTAGGATCTGGAGATGTCTCTTCATCCATTGCTACTGCTTGAAATGCTGTCATTCATTGAGGATCATCTACTGCCTTATTTTTTGATACCCCACTTCAACCAAACTCATGATTGGGTCATCTCTCTCCCTTGAAAAACACAGACACTTTGTGAAGGCAGTCACCATCTTCCATTTTCTATAGAAGTTCCAGTGTGAGAGCAATGTAGCCTAGTGGTTATCTGCAAAAGACCTGGGTTAGAAGCTTCACTCTTTCCCTTAGCAGGCACTCGCTCACGGGCGAGTTGCTTATGAACAGTAACAATGACAATAATATCAACAACCAACATATACTTGGCATTGACTTTGATTTGGGCTTAGGTATCCATTAACTCATTATATACTGACAACAACCCTATGAAGGAAGTATTGCCATTATCTCTCTTTTACAGATGAGAAAAAGATGCCAACAAAGAGAAGTGATGTGTCCACGGTCACACACTTATTATATTGAGAAAAGAGGTTTTGAACTCAGATAGTTTGGTCCCAAAGCCCATGTCTTCACTTCTATACCACAGGGGGCCTCTCTGGGCCTTAGTTTTCTCATCTGTAAAGTGTGGATTATAATAGTATCCATCTCATAAGATGGTATTGAGGATTAAATAAGAAAATACAAGAGAAGTTTAATAATACAGAGCTCAATATTTTCTAGCTGCTATCATTGTCATCACTGTGTTCTGGTCTTTTCCTTCCTCCTGCTCATGAGCTAAGAGTGGAAGGTCATGTCCTCCTAAGGACCCTTGGCTTACATGTCATCTCCCCGTGCCCAGCACATTCATGGCAGAGAACTTGAGAGGTTCTGTCAGCTGTAGACCATGTCAGACTCAAAGTGATGCACAGAGAGTTCTAGCATTTTCCTAGAATTTGGCAATTCTGGACCTCTGAGCCATTGTGTTTTTTTACTTTTGTTGCATTTAGCTCCCTCTCCAATTCCTGTTTTATTCAGTTTATTTGATTCCTCTCCCTAAGGTCTCCTGTGTAATACTTCAGTGTAACATTTTCTTTCTCTTCCCTCCTTCCCCTCTGCTCTTTCTTCCTCTTTCCTTTCCCCTTTTCCCTCCCTTCCTTTCCTGTGGGAAGCTGCCTATTGTCTTCACTAGCAGAGAGGTGTGGACAAGGAACCTGGAAGGCTGGTGACCCTTGAAGCCCTGGCAAAGGTCAGGGCTGCGCACCCACTGTTAGTCCAGACAATGGTAGCTGAAGCAACTTCCCCATTTATTATTATGTAAATCCTTGCTGATGGGCTAGTCTGCATGTTACTGGAAATTGCCTACCTAAGGGCTATGGGTGTATCCCAAACCAATAAAAGGTTGGCGAGGCCTGAGCACCAGTGGAAGTCCTTTCCATTGAGTTGGACTTGCCCGCCTGGCCCCCCAATATTTCCAAATTATTACTTGTCTCTTTCATTTGCGTGCAGCCCTCTTCCAGATCCTGAACCCTGAACCACGCAGGACGTGGGGGGAAACGAACAAACATAAACATTACACACTTTCCCATCTCCCCCCACCCTCCTGCCTTTCCTCTGTGTCTTTCCCTCCCTAAGTCACTTTCAGGATGAGGACTGCCATCTGTATTTCATATGTCCAGCAGGCTAGGCTGCCTCCCAGGCCCCCAGGCAATTAGTTTCTGGAATCAGGCCTCTCACAGCTCAGGGACACCTGGGTGGCTTTTAAAGTGTGAGGTGCTTTACCCAGGAACACCTCTTCCCCTGCTGGGACTTAGTTTGTTTTGAGGTTAATGTGGTTAATGGGGTTAGTGGTTAAGGGCAGCTCACGCAAGGCTGCCTCCTGCCTCCTTTCCTGAACAACCTCGGCTCTGGACAGAAGCCACAACGTCCATTTCTCTCATGCTTGAGTCCCAGTCAAATGGTTCTGCCTCTGACTAAGTTTCCTCCCGAAACAGCATCCCTGACACCTTAATGGAAATTAAAAATAAAATAAAAACACAACTTTTTAAAAAGTGCACCCTCCCTGCCCAGCTCACTCAACTTGTTGGAGATGGTATTTGATTCTGTCCCTGGGGAGTGAAACTGCTCTTTAAGTAAACCCAGAAGATAACTAACAAATAAACCTTCAAATTAATAATGTCTAAGAGATGAAAGTTATTAGTTTCTTTTATACACCCAGTTCATTATCAGCGGTGCCATTAAATTCTGTTTCGTGCTGTGGTTTGATCACTGTGCAGCTTGGGATGCTCTCTCCCAGCCCTTCCCAGGGACAGGCTGTGGCTTCATAACTGGGGAGAGCAGGCAGGCCTTGCTCTGGTGGGAAAGGGTAAGGGATGCCTCTGAGTGCAGCTGGGATGACCCTACAGGCACTGCCCCCTGTCTCCCAGGGACAGCAGGCCATGGGGGCAGCCTGCCTACTGGGGGTGGTGGGCAGGCCCCCTGCTTATGGTACCCAGAGCCTCTCACTATTGGGTTCATGCTTTCTCGCACTGAGGGCACCTCTGGAGGGATACCAATGCACTTTCCCATTTTGCCTTTGTTTCCTCTTCTGCCTGCAGGCCTTGAACATCCTCATTTTAATTTGCCTCTCAAGGCCTCTGGTGCTCACCTGTGGGAGGTGACTGGGGTAAAATAACCACAGATGATTATGGAAGCCTTTCCAGAAATGCAGGGTCTGGGGTTCTTGCCCTCGGAGGGCACTACATGCCTGTTTGGATGAGCCTTGTCCTGGGGTGACTCACTGTAGGGTGGTCATCAGTGTCATCCACATGTCTGAGACCCAACAAAGGCTGCCACTTTGAATGCTACACAACAATGATTCGTTTTACAAATGATCCACAGAAAATTATTTATAAGACACAAGGCCTAACTCCCCCTTCCTAGCCCATTGCCCATCTCCCAACTCTAGGGGCATTTAAAATATGAAAATTTTGTCAAACTTTGATTTGTCTACCACTTTGAGGAATGCAGCTCAGGAGCTGTGCTAATCACTAAGTCACTTCAAGGACAATGTTCTCCAGCGGCCTGGGAAGGTCTCTAAGTCCTGGGGAGGCTGGCAGGAGGTGTGGGACTCCAAGGACCCTGCTGTGGCTGGGTACCTGCTCACAGGGTGGGAAGGTGTGAGCCACGCGGCTGCATGATGCTGCCAGTGCTCCTGAGACGCGGGAGCACACAGGCTGCCACAGTCAGCCCTCCTCTGCCAAGTTCCTTTCAGCCACCTGGGCAGAGATTTCTGGTGCTCAATGGGGAGAAAATGTTAAAACTACTAGCCAAGTGGGCAAAAAAACCACCCCCGTGGTGACAAAAGTCAGGAAGGTGGTTATCCTGGTGACGGGGGAGGGGTTATTTACTGGAAAAGGCATGAGGACATTTTCTGGTGGTTGCAAGGTGAATACCTGGATTAAAAGTCATTGCCATCTCGCTGACCTTTCAGTTTGTGCATTCTACTGGCTACAACTATATCGCAATGAACAGCAGTACTGTCCAAAGTGCAGGTGGAGACGATCCAAGCGGTTTCCATCTCATGCCAGGCCTGACCCACTTTAAGCTGGAGGCAGTGAGAATTCTAAGTATATGTATCCATTACACATCTTTATCTTCCTCCACAAGTGTGTTCATACCTACAGGTTATATTTATATCTGCAGCCAGATCTATATATTTAGATCTGGAGAGGAGAGAAAAGTGTTATATGTGCATGTCTATATTTGGGTGGTTTACTTCTTTCAAAGAACAGGAGGATCCTAGCTCCATTTTTTTTTTTGAGCATACACACACACACACACACACACACAGTAAAAGACAGTAAGCCTGAATAACTAATCAACGATCTTGCTGTTCTCCCTTGTCTGAGATGCTAACACTGACCTTGATGGTGATCATGGGGATGGTCAGCACAGTGGACTTCTGCTTGGCCAGAATATCCCCGGTCTCATTGACACGGGCCGTGACAAAGAAGTGCAGAGACGCTTGCTCCAGCAGCTGGCCCATGTACTCGCCGGCTCTGACCAGCACCTCCTCTTTCTTGACTGGCAGAGAGAAACAAACATGCTGGGTATCAGGACTGAGATGGGATCTGCTTTCCTTTCCCAGAGCGCCCCCCTCTTTCCCACATCAGCACAGCACCCACCGAACAAAGCAAAGGTGAGGGAGGGGCAGATGGAACAGTCAATCAGGGATCAGGGATAAGTGCTCCTGCTTCTGGGTAAGGAAAGAATGTGCTGGAAATCTGATATTCAGTGAGGTCTTACTGGAGAACATGTGTCGGATTTTCCAAACAGTGCTTCTGCTGTTGTAACATATGTGCCATGTTTAAAACCAAGGACCCAGGGGTTTTGACTGCGGCTGTTTTGATTTGGGAGGGACAATCCGAGGATGGCAGGTGTGGAGCGGTGACGTTCAAGGGCACCATTCCAAGTGCCAACCCCTCGTGCAATAAGCAGCATCTCGAGTAGGCCCTGGGCCACGCTGGAGGAACACTGTCAGTCACCCCCTCATAGCTCTGCAATTTCTTTCCAGCTTTCCCTGTACTAATCTGACATGATTTTTCTATGGAAGAGAAAGAAGCTGTTGAAACCAGTTTTCACCATAGGCATTCAGCTTCCTCCCACCTCCTCTCCTATTTGCCACTTAACAGGCCTCTGTGCCAAAAGCTTGTTTCCTCGAGTCACGGAGGTTAGCTCTCAGGAGGACATCTGGAGGGGGAGGAGGGTCCGGCTCCCTCTGCTCACCGTCAGCCTGGGGACGGGGACTCTACCTTGTGGTTCTGGCCACAGCAATGAGGTTCTGTGGCTGCATCGCCCACTTGCTCTATCACTCTCCTTTCCCGCAGCCCAGGATTCTAGAGAGCAAAGCGTGGTCCTGCTGCAGGCCAAACCCAGGCCCCAGTGCCACAGCGGCTGCCACCTGCCTGGGCAGAGCCACGTGCTAGTGTGGCATCGCCAGCCAGCCGCCCAGCAGGAAAACGGTGACTCGTGCCTCCACCCCCAGACACAGAGCACAGGGTCTGTAGGCGTTCAGGGAATTGCACGTCTCCACCACTGCTTCCCTGCCCAATGCCTGCTTTTTGCCAAAGATTCCTCCTTCTTGCAAAAGTTATTAAAGGAAATAACTGTCATGGTTGCCGGTTTCAAGGGCAGAGCGTAGTTCATGACAGCTCTCCATAATGAGCAGCGGCCCCTGCAGCCAGGAAGGAAGGCTGCATGGAGACGGCGCCGGAGCACAGGGAGGCCTCCTGGCCGGCTGGCTCACAGCTGAGAGGCATCAGCACCCACTTGGAAGCTCCTCACAGATGAGCAGGTGCTGTGGCTGCCTCTAGCCCTCTGGCTGAAGAGTTCCCAGTCTTGGCTCCACATCACAGTCACCTGGGACTATTTAAGAACCTTCCCTGGTGGACCCCACCCCACACCAATCAAATCAGAATCTCAGGGGCCCCGGCTCAGTGAGGTGGACTCTGGTGTGCAGCCGGGGGCTGAGAAGCAGTGCCCCCACCCCCAGGGGTTCCCCACAGAATCAGCCCTGACAAAGGGGCAAGAATGGCCTTTCCAACCCAGGCCTGCTGCTCCCAGTGTGGTCTGTGGGCCAGCAGACACCGCCACCGGGAGCTTGTTACAGACGCAGGTTCTCCAGCCCCACCCACCCCACTGACTGGGTCAGGGTCTGCCCTTGACTAAGATGGCCAGATGATGGCTTTGCAGGTTTGCAAAGCTCCCAGAGACAGGGGCTTTTAGCAGCAGAAGTGGCAGAGTTAAGGTGGACTTAGGACAGTCTCAGTTTTAAAATGAAAAGTTCTGTATCCCAGAACCTACTCAATTCCTGGCAAACTGGAAAGGCTGGTTAGTCTAGACCAGTGGTTGTCAACTGGGGGCAATTTTGTTCCCCCCACCCCTAGGCATATTTGGCAATGTCTGAGACATTTTTGGTTGTCAGAACTGGTTGCTACTGGTGGGCATCCAGTGGATAGAGGCCAAGGATGTTGCTAAACATCCTGCAATGCACAGGATGGCCCCGCAGCAATTATCCACCGTCTGGAATGTCCATGGTGCCTCTGCTGAGAAACTCTGCCCTAGGCTATGCAGAGGTATTAGAAGGTATTGGTCCATCTTACACAAGTGCTGAAGGACTTGGATTGATTCCTGGGCAGTCCTGTTCCATTCAGAGCCAGCCTTTTGCATTTATGAACTGATCTTGATGTTGGCCCTTGAATTCTGCATTTTTTAATGACCAATCATGCTGCCTTCTTTGGGCCTGAGCCTAGATTCCGCTTTCCATGGCTCTCCCAGAAATTAATTGTCCAGATAAATAAGACTCTGTCCCTCAGTTAGATGCAACCTCGGATGAGCACATGGGGCCTGCTTTTCACTTCCCCAGATCTGCACAGATGGAGTGGCAAAATGACAGGCCTTGAAGAACATGCATTTTGCCTCCATCTACCTCCAGTAATAAAATATGGGCGTCTTCTGGCTCTTTCTACATGGTTGTGTTTGACCACTGGGTTCCTTTAGGCTGGTGGGATATACCTGACTTCTTTCCAGAAATCTTTGCAGAGGCCCTCGTTACCTTTACAATGTCAGCATCAGGACCCCTTTATCTCGGGGGCAGAGCATCCTCTAAATCATAGCACCGAGGAAACTGGGCTGTGTTTCCAGCCCAAGAGAACAGTGCTCCTGAAATAGTATGTTATGTAAGTGCTGTGTTTTGCCACCGCACAAGAAATTGTTCTAGATAAAGTTTATTAAATGTGGCAAGAGAAAGAAGAATAGATTTTCATTCTATGAGCGGTGGAGCTGGGATGCTGCCAATATCATTTACGGTGTCTGGGGAAAGCCAAGGGAGACACAGACTGGAGCTGCCTCATCTCTTTTCCAAAAAGCAGAGAAAACTAAATATAGCCAAGTGGAAATGATAGCACCTTTGAAGGTACTGGAAGGTTTAAGTTATTCAAGTCTTCCAAGCTGACTCTAGCCCACACAGTTTCTTTAATCATCAATCTGGAAAGTATGCCTCCCATTCTGCTTGGAAAACTTTCTTTGCAGTACAGCCTCCTAGCAATGTACTCTGACCTTCTAAATCATAGTCTAGAATCATATTTTGCAATATTGTGCAATTTATTTATATTGCAATATGCAACTTATTGCATGTAGTTAATGCCGCCTACCTATAGGGAAAAGCAAGAAATAGTCTTCAACTCCCTTCAAGTTATACAGGACAAGCCTTGGGGTGGGCGGAGAGGGTGGGACCTGTGTTAATATGAAATCTGGCTTAGGTTTGGTCAGTGAATGGGAGGGCTAATGTAGTACGTCATCCTAGCTCCCTAATTCATATAAGCTCAATCATTTATTGAATTAGGGAGAGGAGAAGGGGATTTAGAGATGGAGCTCTTGTGAGGTGGGAAAAGGATTGCATCTAGTTCCCTGTTCAGGGGAGGGAGGAGCAGCTGGACACCAGGTAGCAAGGGCACAAGTAAGGAAATTGGCCCACTTAGGGCCCAAGGTTACAGCAAGTTGGCTCACTGTCCCTGCCTGAATTGGACTTGGCTTCTGTTATCTGCTTTGCCTCTAATTACTGTGTGTGACCTTGAACATATCAACTCATCTTTTCAGTCTCAGTTTCCCAAAATGTAAACATGTTGGAAGTTAACATTTACTGAGAGCCTACCATATGTGATCCATTTCAAATATATTTATCTCATTTAGTTTCCTCCTCACTCGCCTTCTCTCACACCACACATCCAATCTGTCAGCCAATCCGGTGGGCTCTACCTTCAGAACATCTGACCAGTTCTCACTACCTCCCTCGCTACCCTACCATCTCTCACTAAGCTATTGCAATAACATCCTAACTAGTCTCTAAGCTTTACCCTACTCCCCCAAGAGTCTATTCTCAGTACAGCAGCCAGAGTGATCTTGCAGAACCTCAGTCAGATCATGCCAGACTTCTGCTCAGAACCCTCTAATGGTTCTTTCAGCTCATTTGGAAACAAAGCCAAAGTGCGTACTAGGGCCTACAACTCTTCATGGTCTTCGCCCACCACTCTCACCTTGCCATTTTTGTTCCCGACTCTGGTCTCATTGCTGTTCACTGAACACATCAGATATGCTCTGGCCTCAGGGCCTTTGCCCTTATGGTTTCTTCTGGCTAGAAAGTTCACTCCCACCCTTCTGTCAGGTTTCTTTTAAGTGGTTTCCTCCCTGACTACCTCATCTCTACCACCAATTCCTCTCTTGCTTAGCCTGCTTTCTATTTCCCTATTACAGGTTCAGCCACACTATATATTCACTTGTTTGATTGTTTATTGTTGAGCCCCCGCCTCACCACAGGTGCCTACAAACTACATGAGGGTAGTGAGAACTTCTGTTTTGTTCATTGCTACGTCTCCAGCATAAAGCAGAAGCTGGACTTGTAATTACAAAATAAAGGTGTGAGGAGTGAATCCACAGCCCTGTGATGTGGGTGGTATTGTTTCTATGTGCAGATGAGGAGAGTGAGCTCAGATGACTAGGGGAGCTTGCCTGGGGACACACAGCTAGTAGGCGACCCTCACACCTCAAGCCAGACTTGTCTCACTCTAAGGCTCAGGCTCTAAAGGTCACTGCATCTGCCTGCACTGAACAGCTGTGATGACTGTTCTGCTCCGAGCCCTTTACCACTCCCCTCCCCGATTGCTCTTTTTTATAGGGATTCCCTTTCTACCTCCAGGGGTAGAAAAAGGGCTACTCTTCCAGCTTCCAAAGAAAATACCATGCTGATGGGTTTCCTAATTGTTAAAGCCTCGTTACTGAAGTGAGGGAGCGTGGCTTCCTCCCCCAAGTTTGGGTAGGTTTCTTAGGATTGGGAGTTTTGGAACTAGCTTCCCATTTTTTTGGAAATATCTTTCTGAACTTACTGTGGCTCGGGACAGACACCAAATGCAGAAAGCTTGTACACTGTGGAACTATGGTTTGGTGCTCTGCTCTGTAAAACTTATTATTCATATACCCTTTTTTTCTTTTCTTTTTCAATGTCAACACATCAGGTCCACAAAAGCCGGACGCCCGGAAGTGTCCAGGTCCTTTCCGACCTGTCCTATCTAACTCCATGTGCTCTGCCTGGAGACCAGTTCCTTCCGATTGACTAATTTCGCCAGTTGTGTGACCAACTGCTGTGCCCACTAAATACTAGGACCCCAAGAAATGAAATTGATTGAAATTGCAACCCCCAGTGCAAAGTGCAGCCTGCCCATCCCAATCGTATTCTGGAAGAAGATGCTGGAAGGGGTCAAGGCTGAGAGAGCCCCTGAGGGATGGCAGAGAGAGCAAACCCCCTCGGAGGCTCCTGGACAGCACACCTGAGCCTCCCATTTCCTCTCCCAAGGCTGGGCTCTCTCCTCTCCTTGTGTATCAGACAGATCCATTTGCAGAAATGGTCTTCATGCAGAGCTTAGATCTCCCTGCCTTTTGAATGGTAAAGCAGCACCCACCATTCCTGTGGGAGCAGCCCCGTCCCCCCAAAGCCTAACTGGGAGGGAGACACGGGCAGGGGGCCTGCGTGCTGGGTTGTGACCTCCACAAGCTTCCCCATGCACTCAGTGCCCTTGGGACCTTGTTAAAATGCAGATCCTCAGTGACAGGCCTGGGAGGGCCCGAGAGTCTGCATTTCTAACCAGCTCCCCAGCGATGCCGATGCTTCAGGTCCTCGGCCCACACTTTGAGTAACAAGAAGTTATGCTAGATTTAATTTTCACGACTCCCGGGGCTGGCTCATGACTTTGAAAATTTCAGTGTTCGCTTCTGTGCAAGAGGCATGAAGATGAAAGGTGAGGCCTCTCTAAAAGAAGTTGGTTCTCCCATGTGGCCCACGCTCCTGAACTCTGGGGCACTCAACAGAAAGTTATTAGGGGTGTTGGGCCCGAGCCAGACAGAGAAGCAGGTCTCAGGCCCCGGAGAGAACAGCCCCCCGGTTAGCTTACAGGACAAGGGATCCAGAGCCACTTCAAATGTCTCGTTCTTGAATTCCTCCTTGGAGACGCCGGTGTAGAAGGTGATGCTGCCCGAGAGATAGGCTGAGATGGTGTAAGCTTTTGGGCTGTTGTTCTGGAAGGTGATGGTGACCTTGAAGTCCTTTCCCAGCACGGCATTTTCCACTTTAAAGTCCATGTCCACGTCAGACCTCTGTTTCATGATGCCTTCCGTGTTGAGGGGCTTTTTAACCCCGTACATCAGGGCCGTTTCCAGGGCCAGTCTCTCTTCTTTTTGACCTAGGAAAGATGCAGAGGTGATGACGGGAAACGAAACGCAGTCCCTCAAAGCGAAGGTCTCAGTACTGCACACCCCGAGCCGCGGGCACCGTGTGCTGTGCCCGCTGGACTGCCTCGGCGAGCCACACCGCTTCCTTTGAGGCAGGTGCCCAAATCATTCCGATGTTACAAATTCTGCCAAATCAAGTCCCAGCCAGTCATGACCTGCCCAGGTTGCAGAGTTAGGCGGTATCCCAGGGCCTGTCTGAGAGGGGGTTGCTAAGGGGCTTGCTCTAACGGTCATTTCTGCAGAGCCACTATATCAGGCTTCAGAAGGTAGAAGAGGTAAAATCTAGCTCTCCCCAAACTGTGCTATCAGTTTCTTCCCTCCCCAAGTCCTGGCCACGTAGCTAGAACTTGAAGATCTCTAAGCAAAGATTTTGGCAATAGTCATCACATCTGGCCAATCCACCTCCTGCATTTGAATTTTCCCCTGTTCATGGCCCTTCCCAACAAGACCTGTCTTCCTCATCGCTCTTTCCACTTGGGCCTGTACCATCTGCTCCTGCTGAGCTGGACCTGGGCAGCTCATCCTGCCCTCCACCCTGCCCTCCATTGCCATTCGCTCCTGGCAGAAGGCAGAAACCCCTGTTTCCCAAACTGTGCACTGCACCCCATGCTCCGATCTAGCAAACCGTTAACATGCCTTCCTGCAAAAGGGCTGAAGACTAAGTTCTCTTGGGGAGCACTGGGTTCTCTAGAGCCTCCTGGATGGTCACATGTTCAATAGCCTATGAAAGGTTCTGAGATTGTGCCCTCCTGGGAGACTTGTTTAATAAGAATTCCCAGTCATTTGACACAGAACACGTTGTTTTGAGGGACGCCTATTGGCATGGTGGTGCTGTTTGAGACATGTGCTGTTTTTCAAAATATGTCTTATGTAGGGTTTCCAAAGTGGTGGTGATGGGGATGAAGGTATGGAGAGGAGAGAGGAGGAAACTAAAGACTTGCTTTGTGCATGTGAGAAAGTGAGAAGTACAGGTACAAGTTAGGCCTAAGAGCCTGCTGCTGCCGAGTCCAAACTGGGCTAATATTCCTTACAGAGCACAGGACCAAATGCTCGGCTTTGGGGGACAGGGATTGAGGAGATGTGAACAGGTAGTTGCTATGGTCTTTACCATCCTAATTCCTTTGGCTGTATCTCAGTGCTTGTGGCAAATAAAGAGGCAAATACTTTGGCTTCTAAAAAGTAGTCATGGGATTTGCTAGCAAGAAAAACAACAACACACAAGCACTTCAAAATAAAAATGCTGGCTTTTATACTTATGCTAATTTTAAGATATGATCTTTCACTTTACTTAGTTTATAATAAAAAGCAATGGAGATGAAGAGGTCAAATGGTTATTATTGTGATGGGTGTTGTGGTAAGTATATATCATACACTATCTCATTTAATCCTTAGAGTAAAACGGCAGGCACCATTATTACCATCAGTTTCCTGGTTTGTAAAACAAGGAAGCCAACCAACATCATAGGGTTGTTAGGGGGATTAGAGGTATTACATGCGTAAGGATTGGCAGCTGCTAGTACTTCGCAAAGGCAAAGAAAATGCCAGCAGGTGTTGCAAACAATCGAACATGTGTATTTGTGTGTGCATGTGTATTAACAGTTGCTCTGATTGTCAAGATTGCCAGGAGACGCCAGAAACAATTTGTCTAGGATTGGCTAGAGCACATGTTTGCAGATCGATAGGGGGAGATAGCAATAAAGGGAAGGAGGGCTGTGACAAGGAAAGTGCAGTGAAATACTTTAGCAGAATGATCTGGCAGATAGCTCAGCGAGAAAGGGAGCACTGATGGCTGCCGCTTTGGATGGACACCAAATATGCATTTAGGCGGAATGCAGGGGGCAAGCAGCAGCAGCAGGAACATGGTCAGAGAGGTGCCTACTTCAGGGGGAGGGGGGAGAAGCTGAGCTGGATGAGATGAGGGGAGGGGGCAGTGGAGGCTTGTGGGGATAAGAGACTTTATTCCGTATCATGTCATAGATGGAGGGACCTCTAGCTTCTGCTAGGGATGAGTCTGCCCCTGTGAGCAGGGGTGCCAGGCAGAGCAGGCTGGGCTGTTACAGGAAGCACAGGCCCTGATAGGAGGCAGGAGCTGCAGGCCTCCCAGAGCAGGGGAACCCCTGTTACTCTGCAGTTGTGCTTGGTGCTTTGATGTCTCATATGATTCAGGCCATGGATTCAGTGCCGGGAGAGAATGGCCTACAGACAGATTCTATTGTCTGAGACTCCTCGGTAGACCCCAGTTGGAAGGGCTGTTAACTGGGATGCAATGAGAGTGCCTTCTTCCCATTGTTTGGATCTTAACTCAAATGTCACCTTCTCAGAGTGCCCTCCCTTCCCTCGTCCTGTGTAAATGTCCCTAGTCCTCTCAGCTCTCACTAACATATCACCTGGCTTTATTTCCTTTTGCCTATACTTGTCACTATGTGATGTTATTCCCCTGTTACAACGCAACCTCCATGTCCTCCAGACCTAGGACCCAGCCTGGCGCAGAAGCTCCAAAGGACTGAGGTTCAGAGAAGCCCTCTGCTTTCATCCAGACCAAACTTCCATCTTTATAATGGACTAGAGGCCTGGTGCATGAAATTCGTGCATGGGTAGGGTCCCTAGGCCTGGCCAGCGATCAGGGCCAATCAGGGCCTTCTGACTGCCGGCTGGGGCCTTCCTTCATTCCACACCACCCCCTGGTGGTCAGCGCACATCATAATGAGCAAATGAACTCCCAGTTGAACTCCCAAGGGGACACTTTGCATATTAGCTATATATATATATACACACACACACAAAACAGTCCAGTGTAGGACATTTGATGTTTAATTAGGCTCACCTGTGAAAGCGCCACCTGAGTTACCACTCATTTGATATTTCATGCTCTAATGTCAGGCGCTGTGCTCAGATGAGATGCACAGCCTTTCCTGTAGGAGTTTGGCAGTGAAGAGGGGTCACCATTCACCCGGGGGCAGGGAAGGCTTCTCAGTATTTTTCCCTCCACAGGGAGAACAAAGGCCTGGAGGCAAATGGCAGCCTGGCTTGTTAGAGGAACTGTGCAGCTCACCTGGCTGTTACTTATGATACCTGCCCGTGTGGTTAGCAGGGGCAGCAAGGGGGGCAAAAGGGCAGATGGCAGGGGCGTGGCCGCACTCTGACTGAAACACCCTGGAGATGACAGAAGAGAGGGAGGGCTTTTAAGTAGTGTGGCAACCAGGCTCAGGTTTACATTTTAAATATGCCACTTGGGCAGCAATGCAGGGTTTAGAACGAGGGAAAGAGGATAAGAGGAAAGGGAATTGGAAGCTGTAGCAGGTATCCAGGAGAAAAGCCACCATAGCCCAAGCTAATAGTAGTGGTATGGTAGGAATAATACAATTACTAGCGGTAGCAGAAGCTTACTTTTATGGGACACTTTCTAGGTAGCAGGCACAATGCTAAGAGTTCTCTGCACATGATACCACCTGATTCTCAGAGTGGCATGGAGATCATGAGGGGCGGGGAAGGGGAGATGTTTCAGAGGGACATTCAGGTTTGCTGCACCTGGTGGATCATGGTTTCCTTCACTGGGGTATAGAGAGAAGAAACAGACCTAGGGAGGGGAAGGGAGTGGGAGAGGTGACATTGGGAAGGCTCCATTTCAAGTTTCTGTGGGACTTTAGGTAAATATGGAGCTGAAAAGTGGTCTAAATTGGGGCCAGCGACTTGGGAGTGAGCGGTGTATATGCGGACGTAACACCAGCTGTAGAAAGAACCCAAGGAAATGGGCATGAACCCAAGGATGTAAGCCTAGAATGAAGTCACATTCGAAGGGAGTAAGGAAAGCAGAGCTTGGGGGTGGGGGAGGGGAGACAGAACAAAGAACCAAGCAGGTTGGGATGGAACCAGGAGACACTGCCTCATAGAAACAAAGAAAACCAAATTTCAGACTTGGGAGCAATAGCATGAAAAGGTGTAGGAAGGTCCGGCAAGCTGAGGTCTGCAAATGTTTCTTCCACGTGGCAATCAGGTGGTCTCAATGACCTTGAGAAGATCTTCAAGGATATGTTGGTAGCAAAATGTAGGGCACGGAGGTGAGGAATATAAGGGAAAGGAAAATGGCAGGCTGCCAGGTGCAGGCAGCTCTCCCAGGACACCTGGCCATGGAGGTGAGGAGGAAGACAGTGCGGGCATGTTTGGTGGGGGATATATTGTTGAAAAAGACTTTGTAAACTCTTTAAATGCTGAAATTCTAATGGAAAGGAGCTAACAGAGAAGGAGAGAGAAAACTACAAGTGACAGGGGATCATTGATGGGCGATGAGGAAATGGATCCAGATACCATTATGAAGAAGATATATTGCCCAGAAGTTTTAAGGATCCTGGTTTTCAAAGTTTTATAGTATAAGAGGTATAAAATTAATGTTAAGCTTTAGTTTGTCCAAGTGAAAAATGATCTATCCACAATTTAGTTAATTAAAATAGTAAATTCCTAAATATGGTAATAATTCCTTTTTTAGGTTTTTACTCATCTCCAAACTTTAGTGGCCTCACTCAGAATCTGTGTATAGAGAAATTGTATGAAAGAGTGAATAATGGGAATCAGCGTGGCAAATACACAGCCATGGATGCTGGCTGCCCCTTCCTCGATGCCCGTGACAGACATCGATAATCATTCACTCTTTCCCACTACATTTGAGAGCAGTCTCAGCACCCTCCTCTAAACAGTACTCCACTCGGTCATTCCCAAAGCTGGAATTTGAAATGCATACACCATCTTTGATTAAGAGGCCAATTTTCCATCTACCTGGGATTAAACTCTAATCCAGAAGCAGATGGGTGTTTCTTACAACTACCTATGGGAATTTAGGGGCACTTCTATTTAGACCAGACCCCCACATGGTCCACCTATCCGAGCCTTGCCTTCTTGCCGAACTCTGTGCCCAGATTGCAAATGTCTTCCTCATTCAGAGTTGGCACACTTTGTTTTAATCTGTTGTCCACCCTTGGCCAAGCCCTGACTCCTTTTGTGTAGACTGCCTTTGGGTCCTTCCTTTCTTGACATCTGACCTTGATTTGGACTTCACTGCCACCTCCACTGCTGACAGCTAATGGCATTCTGCTGTGAGGTTAGACAAGACAGCTGATGGCCTGGACAGCTCCCTGTAGGCTCACCGCTTGTTTTCTTGTCTGATCAGGATTTCTTCCACACTAGGATTGTTTATCCGCAATCCTTGTCCAGCTGTCTCGTCCTGAAGAACTCCTTCCCCATGCTTCCCCTAGCCAATTTTCATCTTTCCATCTCAGTGAGCCTCACTAACATCCTCCAGAATCCCCGAGACTGGCTTGAGATTCCCTTCTCTGTGGCCTGCACACATCCCACAACTTGGTGAGGGTTTGCTTCCTGCTGGTCTCTCCAGCTAGATGGGAAGGCAGGGCTATGCATGTCTCTATTTGTACCCAGTGTTGAAAATATGGGGATGGTTAATAGCAGTTGAATGAATAAATGAATATTACAGCTAGTTTCTTTTATCTTTTTTATGGACTTTTATTTTTCCTTCCCAAACCTTTTTGCATATAACTCCATAACAAGAGGGCATTGTTTGTTTGTTTTGTTTTATCATGCTTATTTTTTAAGCACAAAAAATTTTTTTAGACTGTTTCTATTGCTATGTCTTTGAATTTATTATTTCCTCCCCTCATTTTAGGGGAAAAAAGAAAGAAAAAATCTTTTGATCTATGTTGTGCACATTTTTTAGATTGTTTCTATTGCTATGTCTTTGAATTTATTATTTCCTTCCCTCATTTTAGGGGAAAAAAAGAAAGAAAAAATCTTTTGATCTATGTTGTGCAATGGAGGATATGTAACAGAAAAAAAAAAGAATGAATCATTTTAGGAATACAGCAAAAATTCACCAGTTCAGATGACAGAAATTTTGAATTTCTAATACTATGCACAAGAGTTCTCAGTTCAGCAAACTTCCTCTTTATAGTGCAAATTGCTTTTGTAAATAAGAGTGCAGAGACTGTCTAAAATATTTAAGAGAAATTCAGCACTCCACAGCATTTCAGGAATACTGATGGATATTTAGGTATATGCTAATTATTCATCATTTTTATCTCTTCACTAAAATAAATGCCACTTGTAAGAACTCTGATGATGAATCATCTATGAAATATACTCCTCATTTCCTATCAAGATATCCAAGGTCCTTCACTTCCTGTCCACTGCTGACCTTGGGCAGTTTGTCTTCAGCCCCTGGGCACTCTGAGCCTGCAGGACCCCAAGCACACCAGGTGCTTCATGATTTGGTCATGTGACCACTGTGTGGAAACCCTGGCCAGCTTAAACTGTGCTCTGTGATTCCTCTCACCCTGCTTTGCCTTTTCTGAATCTCCTGGCTGGACTGAGTGTTCCTCTTCTTCTTATCAAAGCCCCCTCTGCACAATGATCCTGTCACTTGGCCAGGAACGGAAATTGGGTCCTGCTCACTAAAATGATCCCAGCACCAAACAATATTCCAGGCATAGAGTAGGCAATCAGTCCAATACCAACTCAACAGCTCCATTTGAAATATTCTTCACAATAAAAGTGAACAAAACCACATTGCCATTATTTTACAATTTAAACAGGCCTTCAACTTAATTGCCTGACTAGTAAGATAGCACTGTCCTCTTAATATTGTATTATCTACCTCAAGGGATTTCCATGATCATTCAGTGGAACAATGTATGTAAGAATAGTGTATAAAGTACTAAACAGATGTGAATAGTTTTTTAGATTTCTGTTACTGAACTAAAATTATAATGTTTTCTAATAGAATTATTTAAAATTATTTTTGTCCTTTCATATATTCTATATGCTGTTAAAGTAGATATGACTTAAAATCAAATCATTTCACAAGCCACGTGGAGGGAATTCTAATCAAAGCAAACATACTAATAAAACTACAATGAAAAATTGTGGGTGTGATGTGTCTTTCACTCCTGAGAATTTATGCTTCTGCTCTGACTACCATATGCTATAAATGCCAATGCATTCTCTGGGACACATCTCATAGTGACCTTGGTAAGTACAAAATGGACTTGGACAGAGAAATTGTCATTCCATTATAGTAAATTACCTTCTGGGAATTTGTAGTTATCAGTAATATCCTTCATGCCATCTCCCCCAATTTGTTTGGTCACAATTAATTTCCCAACGTGGGTGGTATCAACAGCTTCCACCACATGAGTGCCATCTTTTTTAGCTGTAATGTAAACAAGATCACTGTTGACCTGAAAACAGGAAAAGAGAGCATTAGCTGTCATCAAGTGTCCTTGTTACCAAAATCTCTATCTCTCAATGGTGTAGTCATCTAATACCCCTAGAGTTGGTATGTTTCTCCAACACACTGGATTCATAGGGATAAACTCATTTTAAAACCATTCTATATGGGAATCTAGTCTCGATTAATTATCAGGTATTTTAAATTAAGAATATTTAGAAATGGGACCATCAGCTGTCTAAACATCAATCACTTCTTTCTCCCCTTTTTTCTTTTCTTTTATCCTCTGCAGATATGGGGAGAGAGAGAGAGAGAGAGAGAAACATTGACTGCCATACATGCCCGGGCAAAGGATCAAACCCACAACCTAGATATGTGCCCTGACTCACAATGGAACCTGAAACATTTTGGTGTACAGGACAATGCTCCAACCAACTGAGCCACCTGGAAAAGGCTCTTTCCTTTTTTTCTTGCTGGTAAATCCCACCTCTTAAGGGAGAGCTGAAAGTACCATGTCTGTTACTTGCTTTCCCAGACTTCTTTTAAGCTGGCAGTAACCGTGTGACCTACTTCTAGGAAAATGAGAATCTCAGCTGGGTGGCTTCTGGGAATGACTTTTTATAAAATGAGAGCAGTACTTGGAGAGTTTGCCCTGCTCTTCCTGCTTTTGAATGTTTTCATGTGAAGTGAAGTGACACTTGGAGCTGCTTTAATCATCCCGAGACAGTGAAAAGCAACATTGCCAACAATACAAAGATGGTAGAGTAGAATGATAAGAAGCATTTGAGGGCTTCACGATGCTGTTAAATGGCTAAGCCAACCTTGGGATACCTACTTCAGATGTGTGTCACATGGCACTGAGCCACTTCTGACTCCTGGTGACTCTGTGAATGAGTGATGTTCACAATGTCCTGTCCTCAACAGTCCCTCTCAACTCATGTAGACTCACGCCTACAGCCTCTTTTATGTAGCCAGCCCATCTCATATTTGGTTTCCCTCTTTTCCTACTGCCTTCTACTTTCCCCAGTGTTACTGTCTTTTTTAAAGAACTGCCCTTTTCATGATGTGCCTGAAGTAGGACAGCTTCGGTTTTGTCATTTTTACTCTAGAACCCATTTGTTCATTTTCTGTGGTCCAGGGTATCCTCCAACACCATATTTTAAATAAATAATTATTTTTTCCTACCAGCCGTAATCTGTGCATAGTAATTGGGAATAAGGGTGTGGGTGATCTTAGCCTTGGTCTCTAAGGACACATCTCTGCTCTTGGTGATCTTCCTCATGCTTTCATTGCTGTCCTTTGAGTCTCAGCCTTCTCTTGATTTCTTGGCTTCAGTCTCCATTTGAAGTGATGACCGAGTCAAGATAAGCAAAATCTTTAACAATTTCCATGTCTTCATTGTCTATCTCTACAGTGGAATAGTAAGAACAGAGGATGCTGGAAGAAATATAGGACCCAGGCTGTGTAACTTTGGGCAAGTTACTGAATTTCTGGTTTTAATAATACTGTCTTCACAGGGCTGGTAGGTAGATCAGTACTACTTATGAAAACCCTATGTTTAAGGCCAATTTCTTTAGAATGGAAGGAATCTTAGTGATCACCTAGTCCTTTCTCCACATTTGAAGGGACTGTGGTCATGCAGAGCTTGGCATCCCACCATGGAATCTGGTGCTATTTTCAGCACATCACAGCCTTGCCTCAGGCACAGGCACAAGCACAGGCACTTTCTGCACAGCCTGAGTGAGGTTCAGGCCCCCAGGGACTCAGCAAAGGTGGGCTGGGGCAGAAGGCTGCAGCGGCCTCTCTGCAAACTCCTGCCTGTGCCCATGGAGTGGAAACACATGTCCACTGCTGCCAGAGGCCACACTCACCATCACAAAGGATGGAGCCTTTCTTCAGAACCCAGGACAGAGTTTTCTTTGTTCATCGGTTCCCAAATGGAGATAACTGCAGGGCACATAGCTATGTAGGGAAAGTGGTGGTCTTCTGAGGACACAGGTGGCAGTGGGTACCTGCCTGGTCCACCAGCTTTCCTGGCCCACCTGCTGTAAACCTCCCTGTGCTCACCATTCCTGCAGCCTGCAGCTGGCCATGCACCAGGTCCTGTGTGCCTCATCTCCCGCTAGCGGTTGGGAGTGCTATTTGGCCCTGATCTCTCTGAGATACTGTTCTTAGTGGTGTACTCAGTGTCAGCTTTTGTTGGCTTGCCTGCTTGACTCCTTCATTCATTCAACAAGTATTTATTCATGACTACTATGTCCAGAACTTGCTTTCAGCAATGAGAAGCCAGGGAGAGAAATAACACTAAGACTGGATAGAAGGATAAAAACAACAGAGCATAGAGCAGACTATAATATTTTAGGTGGGGTGGGTGAGTGAGGGCCTCTTTGAGGAGGTGACCGGAACAGAGACCAGGAGACAGTGAGAGGGCAGAACATTCCCCTAACATAAGAAGGGGAAGAGCTTTCACACCAAAAGGAATGGTGTGTGTCCAGACTGAAATGAGAGCGTGTTTGGATGTTTCCAGGAGAGTAAGGTCAGTGTGGCTGAAGGGAAATGAGCAGGGGATGAGAGTGAAGGGGAAGCCAGGGGCCAGATCACACCAAATCTTGTAAAGATTGATGTCCAATTTTATTTTAAGGGTGATGGGAATCTGTTAGATGGTTGAAGGCAGGGTGGTGACAGGTTTTTATTTACATTTTAAAAGATAATTCTGGCTGATTTGTGGAGAATAGATAGGAAAGGGGGTAAGAGAGGAGGAGGGAGATGAATTAGCAGGCAACTCCACAGGGCTCAGAGCTGTACAGAGCTCAGAGGGTAATGATGAGGATCATAGACAGGGTTGATGAATGACAGTTTTTAAAGGCATTTCTGGCGAGATGCCTGAGGAAGGTTAACAAGAGAAGCCAAGATGATTTCCAAGTTTTATGTTATTTGAATGAATGGAAGAATTATTTCGGATCAGAAGAGAAGGTGCCAGAAAATGGGCTGCATCTAACAAGTGGTAGAGAAATAAACAACTTTGGATTGAGAATAAAGAATCTGAGAGAGGCAGCTGCACAGCTTGTCACAGAGGACTGATGGCCTAGCGCTGGGGAAGGAGCCAGTCACTGGCCCTGAGGGATCCGTCATGACTGCTGCAAACCCAGCCCAGTGCCAGGGAGGGGAGGCAGGCGTGTGTGCGTGTGTGTATGTGCACATGTGCATGCATGTGTGTGCACGCACGTGTGTGGGTGTGAGTGGGATGGTGTGAAGGAGACCACAGATCCAAGCAGAGGAAGCTAAGCTAGCAGAGAAGCCACTGTTCCTGAGAGCTTAGTGATGGCAGAATTCAGAAGACGACTGCAGACTTCCAGGACTGTCCCGCTCCCTTCTCACCTCTTTGGAGGCCTGAGGACACCAATATTTGGGGAGAGAAAAGGCAGAGGGCCCTTCAGAACTGAGAAACGCACCCAGCACCGAGGGCATGAGAAGGCAGGCAGCAGGGAGAGAAGTAAGCTTTAAGCCCTGAAAGGAATCTGTAAATGCTAAGGATAAATTTCCAAAATAGAGAAGGAGAGCAAAGGGACAGAGGTAAGATGTTTTCCCCCAAACCCCCTCTTATTTGGGCTTCTGCTTTCACTAAAGGAGAAGAGCAAAAATGTCAGTGAGCATGATGCTGGCTCTGGCCGGAAGTGAGTGGGGAGTGACCAGGAATGTCAGCATCCAGAGGGTAAGGAGGGCAGACTCTAGCAGGTGCGGCGGGCGGGGAGAGGCCAACGCCCCCAGGCAGGAGGTGGGAGTGGGAAGAGAGGAGGAGGTCCAAAGCCTGAGTCATGGAGACGCCCCCATGGGGTCTGACTTTAGGTTCCCTTGAGAAAAGATTCTTCAGACCCTATTTAACAGCTCACACAGCTCTTACAAATGACTGGGCCCTGGAGCTCAGCCTGTGCCAGAGCAACAAACATACACTCTGTCAGACGAGTCTGCAGCGGTGAGAGGAGTAATTATAATCTGCACACCCCGATGACACCCATAACCCCCGATCTATATTTAATAATAGCAAGAGCGTTTGCATTAACAGCTATTAGGCAATTTGCTCTTGGAGGGAGGCTCCTTCCTCTCTCCTTCTTTGCAGCAGGAAAGCATAATGAAAATATAAAACAAGGCTTTGTGAATTTTAGAGTGATTTCCTATTAAGAGGTTCTTGTAGCATCATAAACTCTCAGATGGCAGCTGGGAGGTTTGGATAAATCTTCAAATCCCAAAGTGAAATGGAGGGAATAAAATCCAAACATGGCAACGCCTGCTCTCCTGGCTTCTAGCAACTGCGATGGGAGGCGTGGTGGAAGACACCCTGCTGGTTCTGTGTATTTCCCGTTTCCGATGGTGCTGTCTAAATATTCACGTTTATTGCACTTCCTAAACACTTTCCAGTCTTGCCTCCTTCTCCGCCCTCCATTGCCTTTTGCCCAGTCCCCTCCGTGGAGACTCGTTTACAAGGTGAAGTGCCCACTTCTCAGGACCTCAGTTCCTCAGTCCAGTTCCTTAGCTGTCATTGCTGACACCTGCTGACGCATCACTTTTTGTGAGCCTGGATGGAGAGGTTTCCTGTCCCCACACACCATTGGGCTGCCACTGGTCGTCCTCTCTGCCTGAAATGCTTCCCTTCCTCCGGCTTCTTTCTGAGCTCCTTTGCCTGAGTAACTGCTGATCACCTCTCGAGACTTGGCTCCGGCACTAACCCCCGAGGGAGCACTCAGATGTTCCTTCCAGGGCTCCTGCTGCCGGCGTCTCCTCTTACTGTGGCTGTCATGAAGGTGTCCCTCCTGTCTGTCCCCACGGCACCCTCCCACCCTAGACATGGTCTTTAGTGTCCTACTTCAGTTCCCAGCCCATATTTCTCAGTTAATGAATCTGTATATATAAATGCAGACCAGTTATCACCTACATAACTCATCAGCCAGTTCCATAGCATCTCTTGTACTATTACTAGTATTATTTAACTTGTGATGTGTTCATGTACTCCAACTCCCATAAAGAATCAAGTTTCTTAAGGACATGGGTCTCACATATTAATAATAGTTACTCATTCTAGTCCTAGAGTATGACGATTAGTAAAGCAATTTCTTTTGAGGGGAAAAATCTCAAAACATCCAGGAACGAAAATGTTAGCTAAGAGCTGCATGTAGAATGAAGAGCCCGGGTTGGAACGATGCCAGTGCTCTATTGTTTGAGGCATTGAGAGGTGGGGAGGAAAGCAGCATGTCCCCTGACTTCCCACTTACCTCTGCAAAAACGAAGGGTGCATCAAACTGGAAGCAAACGTGGCCATGCTTAATGGCTTGAACAGAGGCCGGGCCACACCGGTACATCCCTGCATCACACAGAGGAGAGAGTGTGAGTCTTCACGTCTGTCCTGACACAGAGGCGACTGTGTCATTGACTTAGCCCAGATGCTTTCCATGCCAGAGGGCAGGTGACCAGTGTGTGCAATCAGTATGGTTTCCTTGGAAACGCCTCCTCGATTCAAAATATGAAGCCATAAAAAAATGCAGGGCATCACCATTCCCATGTGTATTCTTCCACCTACCAACACAACCTTGAGGGTGGGTGCCAAGCTGTTGGCTCACATAACATTTATGCTTTCACAGTGGGTGTCTGCAATGTTGGGAATGATGATGTCCTCAGTAGTTGTGTTGTTGATTTGTGTTTTGGACATTTGTGCACTTGAAACCTGTATAATTTTGTTACCCAGTGTCACCCCAATAAATTCAATAAAAAGGAAAAGACAAGTAAAAAGAAAAAGACAAAAAACCAACAACACATGTCAAGTTTGGCTGGAGAAATCAGATACTAGCCACACATTGACCAATGCACCATCTGTACTGAGGAAGTTAATAGGCCCACGTTTACATTTACAAAGTTTTTAAATTTTAACCAGCGATCATTAGTTAATAAGAGATTTGCTGCTATTAGTCATTCTGGAGTCTCATTAAGATATAGGGTGGACAAGAATAGGTTTACAGTAGTGAGTGTGTGAAACACGGTGTTTGTTCTGGTATTAGGATTATTTATTAATTATTGTATTACTTTCCATCCGAACAGCTGTAAACCTCCTTTGCCCCACCCTCTATAATCCAGAACACCAGGAAGTGTTGAACTTTCTCCTTTAGAACGCACTAAGATTCTCTTGTAATTGCATGATGAATGTTTATGTGTGCGTGTATGTACACACACACACACACCAGTATCTCAGATCAACACCTGAGGAAATAAATATAATGTCCCCAGGTCACTCACTACCTTATATCACCACATCAAAGATTAATGGAGGCTTATGATGTGAGTTTATAAAAATCCAGGGAGGTCATACTGCCACTCATTGCTTAGCATAATTTGCAAGTTAGACAACAAATACCCACAGTCTCAAGTTTTGAAAGAAATCATACAATATAAAGAGAACCTGGTTCTGGGAAAACACCAGTGTTTTTAGTCCTTTATTTTCTCTCCTGCCTTGTTTCTTCCCACTGTGTACCGGGAAGGGTAGAGGTATGTTTTATAGCCTAAAGTGCTGACACAGATGTTTTTCTCCTGTCTTCAAAACTGCTTATCAAAGCGGGAGTAGAAGAATTATATATGTTAAGTTTTATGCTCTTTTTCTGAAAGTTATAAAGTAATCCGGGAAAAGGCAACCATTGAATTGAAATGAAACCTGACTGGCAGGGGCTAGTACTGTCTGTGAGCACAGGGAGCACGCTTCTGCTGTGGGTTTCCCCTGGGAGTGTTTCCCACACAGCAAGTGCAATCACAAAAGCAACATGAAGATTGGCAAACAGTTCCCTCGAGAGAGGGTGCAGGTTACCGTCACTGTTTTCCTGGGGGGTGCTGTCCACCGCCTGCCAGCCTCCAAATCCAACGGGAAGATCAGGCCTCGTCATCCAGGCTTCATTCCAGCAGTGGTAGTTCCTGGGAAAACACCACTCCAGTGAGATTAAACTTCCCATCACACTCAATGCTCCAAAACATAAAAAAGTGACCCAAAATCCTGAGGATATGCCATCTACTAATTATTGGACTGGATTAAACTAAATCCAGGGCTTCCAGAGATGTCCTGGGGTTCTAGACTTGAGTTTGCAGGGCAGATCCATTCCTGTTGGTATCCCTAGGGACACTCACATGGCTGGAAATAGCTCTTCTCCTGTTAATATCAGTTTCAAGGCCCCCCAGAGATACTCTAGTCAGTGCATTAAGCAGTTTTGATCGTAACCATTCTCGGCTGCCTAATGAAACAGAACTTACTATCTGCTAAGGGGGTAGGAAAGAAGTTACTTGAAAACAAAATATGTACATCTTTGAGTTTTTTTATATTTATGTACATTAAATTTATAAAAAGCATATCCCTTGTAACAATTAAGCAATAAAATGCCTGTGTTTAGATCATTGCCATGGAAACTATATCATTAACTCCTGATTATAATTGTCTATAATTTGTGGCAAATTTCCATTTTCTCTTCAACAAGATGGAAAGGTTATCAGGGCAAGTGTCTCTTTACCCTTTATCAAACAAAGGTGGGCAACCCACAAGCTAAGGGCCATGCAAAACTTTTCACAACTTTGCATATGACCCTGGAGGCAAGAGCATGGAAAATAATGTCATCATGAATTGTATTATTATGTCCTTGAGAAGACCTGAAATTATGTGACAGTACAGAAACAAATGAGCACCTGAACCCGACTACACGACAGAAAATCCTCATAGAGGAACAACAGTTAGCGGTGGGGTGGTCGTTTCTGCAGTGTTTGTTTATAGCACTGATGAATTTCAGATCCAACTACCACCCAGCCTTTTCCTAAATGTCCTTCAACATTAGTAACTCATGCATCTCCCTATCTCTCTCTGAGAACAGCTCAACGTTTATTGGCTCTATTCAGAGGTATTTATTTAATTATGCACCCATTATGTGTCAGGCACCATGCTAGGTACTGGAGATTCAACAGAGATCAAGACATAGGTTTTGCTCATAAGTAGCCTCACAATCTAGGAGAAATGGCAAACATGTAAACCAATTAGTAAAACATTTCATAAGGTTTCTGTGAGGCTTAAACAATATACTCCATGTAAAGCACTTTACGTCTGGCACGTGGTAAGTGCTCAGAAATGGTAACTCGGAGATGTTTAAAAATAATTGATGTGATGCATGCTACACTGGAAATTCACCTGAGATGCAATAGGTCTCAGTGGGAAACACTTAGGGCATAAGGGAAGGCTTCACAGCAGAAGTGACCTTTGAACTGAGTCCTGAAGTTTAGCAGGTCAGCAAAAGGAGGAAGAACAAAGTCGTGGAGGCATGAACTAGCCAACACGGTGTATTGGGGAACTCTATTCGGTCCCTGTGGTTGGAGGGAAGCTTGTTTGCATATTTGTGTGTGTGAGAGAAGAGAGATAGCAGGTGAGGGTGGACAAGAAATCACAACACTGAGTGCTAGGCACCGTCCTAAAACCTTTCTGTATGTTAACACATCGGATGTTCCTAGCACCCTATCAGAAGGGCACTGTTATTTATTATCCCCAGTTTACAAGGGAGGAAACCGAAGCGCAGAGAGGTTAAGACTCTTTCCCAAGGTCACACACAGCTAGTTGGTAATATAACTCCAGGGTCCATGCTCTTAAACGCTGAGTTATGCCATAGGTAAAAGTGAGGTTGTGAAATCCCTTTATCCCAAGTTAAATATTTGGGCTTTATTCTTGGGAAAGGCAAATTTGCAGTTCTGTATTTGTGAAAGGTATGTGAAGAGGCAATATGGGAGATTGAGCCAAGTTACCCCCTCCCCCGCACACACACACCAAAATAATGCAATAGTTGCAATGGATCAAAAATCTGTTCACTAAAGGGGTGGTCTTCACAGTGGAGAGGGAGAGGAGCCACTGGGAGGTTCAACTGCTGTCTTATGGAGACGTGGAGGAACCAGATGAGCTGAGGAAGACTTTCACATTTGCAGTATGATGGTTCTGTTTACCAAGACTGAATGAAGGAGGAAGGGAAGAAGGTTTGTGTTGAAGGAGGTGGTGCTGCATGGGTGACAAGTTCGTTTAGGATATGATGAACTTGAGTGCCTGTGGCAAATCCAGGAGATGAAACCCAAGAGGGATTTTTATATACACATGTGACACAGGATTTGATGAGGAGGAAGCCCCTGGTGTCTTTACTGATGATGGAGGAGAGTGAGGGAAAGAGCCAGACGAGGAGTGAGTAGGAAGGGGAGAGGTACAGTGTAGATTTCTCAGCCAAAAGTGATCTAGACTGTGAAGGGAAGAAGAGAAGATAGGGCAATGGCTAGAAAGAATGTAATGTAGGGAAGATTGTTTTGATTATTTTTACATTAGGAGAGATTGTCATGCTTGTAGAGAAACACACCAGTCAAGAAAGAGTGAGAATAGAAGAAGAACAAGGAGCCTTGGCCTAATGGCTCAGTTGGTTGGAGTATAGTTTCTTCTACCAAAAGGTTGCAGGTTCAATTCCCAAGCAGGCCATATACCTAGGTTGCAGGTTCCATCCCTGGTTTGGGCGCATAGGGGAGGCAACTGTTGGAAGTTTCTCTCACACATCAATGTTTCTCTCTCTCTCTATTCCTCTCACTCAAAAATTAATAAAAACATATCCTTTGGTGAGTATTTAAAAAAAAAAGAAAAAGAAAGAAAAAATAAAGAGAGATGGAAAAAAGAAGGCTCCAATAAGGAGGATGCAAGGGGTCAAAAGCAGAACCATGGACAGGTGTGGGGAGTGAGGCATTGGCTGCAGGGAGGGAGGCGCAGATGTTCTAGTACAGTGGTTGGCAAACTGTGGCTCGTGAGCCACATGCGGCTCTTTGGCCCCTTGAGTGTGGCTCTTCCACAAAATACCACATGCGGGCGTGCACGTAAAGTTCGAAGTTGACTTAAAACTTTAAGTAAAGTTTATTAAGTTAATTTTAGGGAACATTGTGGAGTGAAAGAAGATAGAGTGTTGAGGATTGAGAAAGGTATGTTGAGATGGTTTGGACATATAAAGAGGATGAATGAAAGGAGATAGACAAAACAAGTATACAAGACGAGTGTGGATGGGAGAGTTGGAAGGGGTCGACCTCAGCGAACGTACCTCAATTAGATTGAGTACGTTTTTAGCAAAGGCCAGCTTAGGAGTACCCTAATTAAGTTAATAACAATGTACCTACCTATATAGTTTAAGTTTAAAAAATGTGGCTCTCAAAAGAAATTTCAATCGTTGTACTGTTGATATTTGGCTCTGTTGACTAATGAGTTTGCCCACCACTGCTCTAGTAGATCAGGGTGGGGTATAGAGGTGCTGGGGTAGGAACATGAGGTTGGCTCTACTTGAGAGCCTCTACCTTTGCTCTGAAGCTGGGAGAAAGGTTGCCATATTAAACAATGACTGCTGCCTCCCTTTAGAACGGTGAAGGTTGCACTATAGGCAGAGAGATCCAGAAAACAAAGCAATAAAACATTTGCAATCCCACATGGACACAGTCTTGCATCCTACACAACATGTGCTGCTTACCAACCCTGACTTTCACCAAGACACCGCCACCCTAGATGAAAAGGTTCCAGAATCTCCTGATTTAAATTTAAGTACCTTGGGCAAGGTTAAGCCTTAAACAAGATAAACAAGATTTGCAGTAAAGATCTCAGACAAAAACTTTTATTTGAGGATAATATTGTTTCCTATAACCAGGAGATGGGTAAAGTTTTATTTTCTCTCATTATGATATCTAAGTAGCTATTTTCGATCTCTTCCACGTTAAGCTATGACTGAGGCCTTATTTGTATATTTAGGGTGGAAGAGTTTACTAAAAGGATCGGGAACTTGTAGGCAGTGGGAGAGATGGACAGAACTAATTATGTGCTGTCCACCTCACCCAGTGCCTATGAGTTCCAGTGGGGTTGGGTTCTAGTCAATGCTTGGAAAGCCAATGGTTGGGCTCCCAGAATGGCAGTGAGCAGAGGGAGAGGATGATACCTCTGAAGCAACGAGCCTTACTTCCAGCATGCTGTTCCCTGTTCAGCAATGGCCAGGGGAATGAGGGTTCCCTTTTGGCTGGATGTTAAGTATTTCTGGGTATACTTACTCACCTTTTATATTTCAAGCTCCTCCATGAAAGAGGCTGACAATTACAGACATTTCCCAACCCTCCAGGTTGGGAAATCTACATACTTCTTACTTATAGCTTCATTATCTAGATGCTCAGTAGTCTTTCTGCTTTCATCCTGCAGTCTCATCGCATGTGTAGAGTGTGTGGCTTCAATTTGGGCCTCTGTCTTGTTCACCATCATGTTCCCAGCACCAGAGCCAGCCCTTGGGAGGCACTCACAAAGTCATGGTTGCTTAAAAGGTCAGGCAGGTGTAATTAAACCTTTGTTTGTTTTTAAGAGTCAAAGTTTTATATTTTTCCTCAGAGCTTCATTTGAAGCCTGACTTTGCACTATACCATTGAAATGTGCAGTGTCCCTTTAAAGTTAAAAAATGCATAAACCCTCAAAGTTATTTATTTTCCTTATTGCCTTGTAGCAGTGTCAAAATTAAAACAAAGCCCCCATTTCACTGAGTGTTGTTATTTAATCAGGTTGAAGATAACTTTTTGGGGTGGATAATGATGGAGGTGACTAATGAAGAACACATTTTTGCTTTATGTCATTTTCTGTACACTTCCTGCAGTGACAGTGATTTCTGGGGCGCCTTTCAATTAGGCAGTTTCAGTACAAAGGACCCAGAAAGTCTCCACCAAAGGCAGCACCTCTCTAGAAAAATAGCAGCGTGCACTGCTTGGGGACCCTTGGAGCCAAAGTTTATCCTTTGACTCAGTAAACCCCTTTCCTTGGAATTTGCACACAGGAAATAATCATGGATGCAATGGGAGGTACATAAGAATGTTCATCCTTGCATTATTTGTAAGAAGGAACAATCGCAAAC